TACCACTGGCCCACTGTCTGCTTCTTGGATATTAAAAGTGCGTACGACGTTGTCGATCGGCGTGTGATCTGGCAATCCATGCTGTCGGCTAATGCTCCAATACCAGTCGTTTCCTTGCTCTCAAATCTGTTTGATGATGTGTCGATCTCGGTTCTGAACCAAAACTGCGTATCTGATGAACTTTCCCTTGGCACCGGATTGCTTCAAGGATCCAGTTTGAGTCCACATCTCTTCAGTATTTTTATCAATTCGTTGCCTGCGATGTTGCGCCAAGCCGCCACTGCCTCAACGACGAGGGTTTTGTCCACCTCTGCTGCTTCTGCTCCCGCTCCACTTTGGTCACCTCTCCCTGCTGGGTCCCCTAATAGCATTCCCATCAACTCTTTATTGTATGCTGATGATGTTGCTATTATCGGATCAGCTCGTGAAGTTAAGCATATGCTCGAGCTTGCTGAATCCCATTCTCTGTCGCTTGGTTACCGTTGGGCCCCTGCCAAATGCGCGTTGATCAACCCGCCATCACCGACTTCATCGACCTATGTAGACCTATGTCTATATGGTGAGTCCCTGCCTGTAGTCGATGAGTTTGTTTACCTGGGTGTTCCCTTTGACCGCAAGGGCATCTGCTCGTCGTCCATGGTCAAGAAATGTCAGCGTGGCGCCCTGGCTTCTATGTCGCAACTCAATGCCATTGGATGCAATCGCTCTGGTTTTCCTCTGTTGTTTTCCACAAAACTGTACTCCTGCTTTGTTCGCCCAAAGCTTGAATATGGTTTAGGTATTACGCAGTTGAAACTTGCTGATTTCCGCGCTTTGGAGAAAATTCAAGATACCTGCCTGCGCATGATCTTTGGTGGTCATCGCGCTGCCTCTACAATGGTGTTCCGGCATCTGACAAATCTGCCGTTGATGAAGCAACGTGCTGCGATACTCGTGTCGCAGTATTGTTTGCGTTCCCAGTTCCTGCCCGAAGATGGTTTGATTTCTCTGCTGTCAGCCTCACTCTCGCATTCTTCTTTGTATCAGTTGAAAAAGCAAAAGATGGCAACCCGCGCTTTGGACGAAGTTCCCGTGGCAAATAAAGGCCAACTGAAAAAATGGTTTTTCGAGCAACGACAAGACTGGCATTCCGAGTTCCTGGAGAAGACTGATAAAGTCCTGATACGTGCCTGCCTTCCTACCATTGGTGTTGACCCTGTCATGTATGTTCCTGCCAGTAGACCATGCCGTAGCCGACTTGTTCGGTACCGCATGGGCTGGCTACCTGGTAAACCTCGACCTTGTGTCTGCAACACGGATCACACCTCTCGCCGTCATCTTGACGAATGCCCCTCTCTCCCGCCTCTCTTGATTTCGTCCTTGCCAACACCACCAGATTCTTTTCATGGTACAATTATTGACCATGCACTGAATCTGCTGCCGACCTCCCCCTCCTCCTCCAACTGTCCACCCTGGTGGACTGATCTCTGTACTCTTCTTTGGCATTTCGACCAACTTTGTAATCCTGATGGGGATTACACAACGGATCCTCCGCCTGGACA